AGCCCAGCCAGCAGCGCCCGTGCATGCTGTGCGCTGCACGCGGCCAGCTGCTGGCCGAGGCCAGTCAGCGGCCGGTCCGACTGGACTGCCACCCGGTCCAGACCGGTTCAGACCGGCTGGACCGGTTCAGCAGCATTTCCAGCCGGTTTAGCCAGTTTAAGCCGGTTCGGTATTTTTAGTCATTTTCAGTAAATTTTCCGGGAATATTTCATTTCAGAATAATCATGTCCAAATCAGTTCAAATAAATTCAGTTCCGGTTAATCCGGATAAGTCTAAAAATCAGGATAAGTTAAAAGAGCATCTTAACGAGATTAATCAGTTAAATTAGCAGTCTGAGCATAGTCAATAGTAATTGTTTGTATTATTTTCAGTTTAGCAGGCAACAGCACTACCTATCAGTCAGTCAGTTCAGGTGGGGACTCAGACTAAGTACTACATTGTTTATAATTGCTCTACCATGTACGAGGTATGTATTTTCAGTATCCGCTCGGAATGGCCGCCGGTCCATTCTGGGTTCTAGTGGCCCTAGTCTGCCCACTAGAGTGTGCACATGGTGTCCGGTTCGCCGGCAGATGTTCAGTTCAGATGTGACTTCGGTCACTACGTGGCTTCGGTCACGAACTCAGTTATCAGATACGTGACTTCGGTCGCGAGTACGTGACTTCGGTCGCGAGTTCAGACCGGTATCAGTTCAGTTCAGTTATATATATGCTTAGTTCATGATATTGTTATTATTTACAATGTTTTACATTAGTATGAGTTTCCACGGAGCACAGTGCCTAGTGCTCACGCCCCAGTTATATCTTACTTTTCAGGTCAGCAGGTCGGGCCGGCGGTGTGACATGACGGGAGCTGCTCGGGTCATTCAGGACATTTGTTTATATGCCTTGGACTGTATAACTAATATTTACGCTTCTGCTTACTTTTGAACTATCTTTGACGATGGTTTGATGATTTGACAGTTTTATCGTATTTTGACGAACTTTTCAGAAAAGTAAAAGTTTTAAATAACCGGACGTTTTAATAAATTAACACAACAGTTTTTCTAAAGATAAGTAAAGATTTTCACGGTAGCACCCCAAATCAGTTTCGCAAAGTAAAAATGTTTAGTTTTCACAGACTTTGCGAATAATTGCGCAACTCTGATTTACTTAGTAAGGCGGGGTGTTACACATGTGGGTGTTGTTTGGAATATATATGATAAACTGCATGTGCCCAAATTTGCAGTTATGATATGAATTTAGTGCGCAAATTATAGTTTCTCATTTTATTACTTGATATGAATTAAGTATGAACGTGATCATAATTTATTGAGGCTAAATTAATTTGAATAACTTGAACATTAATTTAATTGACTAATGAACCAATTAAATGATATGCAAATATGCAAATTTGAATATTTAACAAATGGAATTACATATCATGTATTTTTTTTTTTTCCTCAACCGCTTTTCCTCACTGGGTTTTGTAACGAGATTTTATATTAAGCATAGTCATGATGTGGTAATGTCCAAATGGTGTGTTTTAAATAAGTTCAGTAAATATGGACCTCGAGCCATCAAGTCATTACTGATGTACAATATATCTCCCTATACATCGGACACAATAAAATGAATAAAAAGTTCCAATGTTTTACAATTCTATCTCTTGTTCTCGCTTTCTCTCTTTCTCCTCTTTACGTCTTTCTCTCTTTCGATTTACGCCTTTCTCTCTTTCGAGCTACATCGTATTACAACAGCTAGTACTGAGAGCAACAAAATGATAATACAAACCCTCAACTAAGCTCATGATTTGAGTAACGTAGAACTGCCGTTCAGCAAATAACATGAACAGTATCTAAGGAGGATCGAGAAACCCGATATTCACAAGCATGGTTATTTAGGAACAATTTAAAAGAGGCGAAAACCAACAACAAAAATTACATAGCATATAACTGAACTGCAAAAAATTGTGGACCTCAACCATCGACAGACTAAGTCAGGAGAAATTTCATTCATCTTACAGACACGTTTTTGGCATGACCTTAATGTTTTTCAGACCTTTCACCACCAATCGACTCCAAATCTCTCTTGCATTTTTCCCTCAAATCGTTCAGTGGTAGTAATCTACCTTCCTGCAACAACCCAACAAATTATCAAACTAGAACTCAGACTTGATTGCTTTGGCTAACATAAAGGGTTGGTACTTCCATTCATGCATCATATAACAGCGTCCTTATAATCTCTTCTCGTTTGAATGACAACCAGTGAACGTGATCTTTACCTTTTTCTTACGAATCCTAGTTTGCTCAAACTGGAAATACAGAAACCTAACTGCAAACTATTTGCAAATTGAAGTAAAGTTTTGCAAAACAAGTTGATCATACACAGTCCATTTTATTTGCTTCTTCTGACTATCCAATTGCTTTCAGAATTTAAAGGAACATTTCTCTCTCTACATGAAATTTCCTCACAAGAGAGCGGAGAAAATGTACTTGTTCATAAAAAGACTGGTTACGAAATTTGAGTGTCCATTATATCTTAATAATACCAAACTTTGAATGTTGTGATGGTTCTATACAAGGATCATCGTGTAGAAACAAATAATCAATGTCAAATAGCAACACCTTTGCATTTGAAATAAAACACAGGTCTCGTTGTAATGTCTTTTACATTCAGTAATACCAATTATATTTAACCTCAATAGAATTGATACTTCCGCAAAAAACCTAAACTTTATAGAACTATCGTATTATTAATATTTTGTATCTATAAATATGATTCTTATAGTGTTTTTTTTTTTATTTTTTTATTTTTATTTTTTTTGCAAATAGATTCTTATAGTGTTAAGGGACATAAATTTATCATATAATTCAAAAAATTTTAATACAGTTCCTTAAAAAACTTGAAGAGCTTCATAAGATACTGAACTGACACTAGTTCCTAATAACTAGAGTTTTGATATTTTTGGCAGTTTCAGTAGGAAGATAGGTATTTTAAGCTCAGTTGTCGAACAAAACCTAACATTGAGATGCTAATGTACTCTCAAACCTACAGCATGCTTCATTCAAATATCTAAGGGTGCAAGTTTTAGCCACTAATTAGCATAGATTAAACTAGCGAAGCTAGGGCAAGAGGCGAGCAAAGTGAGGGTTAATTAGGATTTTAAATGTAAACACTCTACTAATACTTTTGGACCAAAGGTTTCTAATTGGATTGGCCCCTCAAATCTACTCTTGTCCCCTCCAGTCTAATATTGCATTGTGGTAAATCTATTGAATGATCGATTCATATGTTATTCTTCCTAAGTTCGCTACTATGTTACGTGGATCAATATCATGCATCAAGGCTCTTTGAAATCAATTATTCAAAAGAAATTACACTTCCCTGATTCTACATTCTCATGAAATAAGATGGACACTTAATGGTTTGCAGCACATCACACGCTTATGAAGAAGACCCATAAACATTCTGAGAAAAATGCATCAGTACTTGATATAGCAATAAAAAATTAATGTATGCAGCATCTGCATATTTATCATATATATATATATATGGAGCAGATAATAATATTTGCCCAGCTAACATAAATTTAATACTTATGATGCACCTTAAAATAATTAAATAAAATATATGACCCGTACCATTTCATTAGCTGAGCGCACACACACCTCTCAGAAAAATGCATTGTTCCTTGAGATGTCCAAAATCAAATTCTTCAACTCAGGAACAACTATTAAACATATAAAAGGAAGAAAAGACTTACAAGCTGATTACTCTCTTCTTCCATTACGCCCGCCGTGTGTTGAAAAAGGGACACCCACTGGTACATGAGATCAGATTCTAACTTAGAAGGCCGGGTGAAGCTTTCAGCACCACGTCTCTCAATACTCTTACTCCTGATAATTCTTTCAGCCAGTATGCTTGCTTCTTTCTGGCTCTTCTTTAGTGCTAAACAATTTAAAGCAAGGTATAGGTAGAAAATATTAATTAAAAGGTTGAATCATTATTGTCTTCTGCAGATTTCTGAAGTTAGTCAGCAAGTTCTATAACAAGTATAAACCCGTTAACCTGATACCCGGGCCTTGATGTCCTGGTAATTGAGGTCCAACCACATATATCCAGCTGAATGTAAAAAGAAAAAATGGGACCATTTCAGTACGTTAAATATCCTAAAATATCAACGGAACCTGATCAAAACTGCTCCTTGCCATTTTTTTCTTTTTCTTTTCTCTTATCTCTTTAAAATGGAAAAAAAAAATAAAAAAATCATAAGAGTTATTCTCAAATAAACAAACAATCAGACAGCAATACAACAACAAACGACACAATACCTTTTGTGCAAAAAGAGCAAGAACAGCTTCTCGTTGGCTCGGTTCCCTCACACACACATTTCTGATTCCTACTCTCCATCTCCATAAACTTTTCAATCCCAAATACAGTAGATTCCTGAGACTCGGGTAGAAAATTAGCACAATCGACTGAGCCACACTGACTCAACAACAAATTTTGTCCATCCCCATCACTTTGACTGCCTTTGGACTCGTAATCATCAAAACCACTATCGTTATCCAGACAAAAGCCACCCATTTCAGCCGCTGCCTTTGAAGTATCATGCAACTTATCGTCGGTTTTAACGCCAGCATTCTCAACAACATTCCCCTCAGACTCTTTTGAGCTGCCTGGCACAGCCTGACCACTTTCATTTATCTGAAGGTCTTTCACGTTTACTTTAAGACTGACAAACTCAATCTGGCCAATTTCAGGAATAACATTCACCTCAGTGGCAGCAGTAGAACTCATCACTTCTTCCCCTTTCAGATCAATCGAGTTTGGGCCCTCAAAATTTTCACCGGCCGGTAGATTCACACTCGTCAAAGCATCAATATTGATTTCAGTTTCGACGTTGCTCGAGATCTTGGAGACGGATTCACCCCCAAATGGATTCACTACGGTATTCGTGTTTTTGTCGGTTGGATTTGGGATACTCGATAAAACATTCCCTTTCGGAGAATGCATCTCAGATCGTCGGGGACACGTAACACGGATACGCTTGGCTGAATCTTTGTCACTGAAACTCAAACTCTTAACCGCAATATTTTCAGTCCCAGAAGAGCCCCTTTTCCCCAGTAAATTAGTGAGGTCACCAAAGACCTTCCTCGGTTTAGCAAACCCATCAGAAGCATTTTCCTCGGCCATTACCAAAAACTCAAACTACGTTGATAGCACGAGCTAATCGAAATTATCACTTAATTCAGGCAAACTGAAACCATAGATTTTCTGGGCGTCGATTAAAACCTAGCCTCCTGGTTCGCGAACACGAATTTCATAAGCCCACCTCATATCAATACACAGAACAAGCATAAATCTTGGGGGAGGGGGAAATTAACTAATGATTAATCAACACCAGCAAAACATAAAACTTAACTAGGAAACCAGATCTACGGTGCGGGCCGACAAGCATTGAACATTTGAACTGACCTTCGTGGAGGATAAACGTTCGGTGCTTTCGCCGTAGAAAGAAAATGAAGATCTGAAGCTAGCGAATGAGCAGGAAATTAGCTCTGAGAAAAAAAAGGAGTTGTAGAGGCGAAAAGGATCCCCGCCTTGTCCCGCCATCTCTCCCGCTTTCAAAGTTAAAATTTATGCGCCATGTACAGAAGGTTTTCAGTGGGTTTTTTCTTTTTGAGAGGCTAGCAAGTGGATATCCCATGTGATAATAATTTTTTTTTTTTTTTTTTTTTTT